TTCCGCTCAACAGCCGGGGTGCGATTTCCATAGAAATTCTTTTTGCAATTGTCAATAGAAATTGATACAAAGCACGCAAGAATCTTTTCGTGCATTAAAAACGAAAATTTGTCTGAAGTATTTACATTTAGAAGAAACTGTACTTAAGGTGGCTACATCCATTTCTGACACATTTAGTGCAAGTTAAAATGTTATTGAAAAAAAGTTAGTTTATAAAAAGTTTGTATTTGTACTTATTCTGTACAACCTTGCCATCCTTTTTCATTCCCATGCCTTAAATACACTTTTATTTCACATTGGACCGGTAAATTTTCATATTGCCATTACCTGAGTTTGCTGATTTTCGAGAAAATTACATTTTTTATGCTAGTAAATAGTAATTTCCCAACCAAAATCTGACTTATTTTTACTTATAGTTCTAACTTTACTGCTATAATAGTTTGGGGGCTCGCCGCGTAAGCTGACTTCCAGCGAAATGACTTTTATTACGTTTTTGAACTTATTGCATAAGATCGTGCACTAACTGTACATAGTCATTTACACTCGTTAACCAATAATCAAGTGTTTAACCACTAAATCCGTAAGACATTTGGGCGGGGGAATGGATATTTGGGTGGACCTACAGGACAGTCTGGCCTATACAATTAACTGATAACTAAATCGCTCCTGCTGCAAAAATCCAATAGGTAATCCCACTAAGGACGTAGAACACAGTAAGCCCTGTACTACGAGGAGAATGGCTGGAATAGTTTTATCATAAGGGCAGATGAATGTGGCAATGAACGGCATCTGCGAAGGAAATTTAGAAGAGGAACATTTTTCCATATAGTTGTTTTACTGATCAAATTAGTTATCGGAACACACAGCGCAATTAGAAAAATTCGAAGTTGGCGTACGTAAACCGACGGAAGACAGTTAAGACGAGATGGCTGATTAAAGACGACTGTGCTTGGGTAAGACGGTATGCGTTGGGTAAATGTGGCTCTTATCCTAACTCCCAACCCTCACCCTAGCTCCAAGCCTAGCCTTACCCCTAAACGTCTTACCAAAATCAATCCTACTGTAAAACGCCTACCCATAGCAACTAACAACTTATGCTACGGTAACGCATAGTTGGGCTGGCATATTCATTTATTATTGGTCTGACTCGAAAGTCGAGTCGGCTCTATGCTTCCCGGAGTTGTAAGTGAAAATGACGTTGCAGGTTATCAAATCGTTATGATGATTATGTAAAGTTCCCCTAAAAAGTCGTACAAAATGTTTTCTGAAAGATGAAAATTCTCTAAATTACGTTAATCTAAACTACTGCCAAACTTCCTTTAAATTCCGTCTCAATGTATAAAACTGTAGGGGAGGGGAATTGTTTCAACTAAAAATCTGGTCCATATTGTCATTTAGGAAATAGGTTAGAGTATGGTCTTTTTTTAAAATGTGTACTTGGGGATTAGAAAAATAGTTTATTTTAACGCAGAGACCTCCAATACGTCCAACTTTATAGCATTGCTGATGCATTCAGAGTTCAGTTAAGACCACCAAAATTATCTGAGATACCATATGCTTTGAAAATGTTTCCTTGTAATATGCGTATCAGAGATGAGCGTTTTGTCACGAAAATCACCTCTTCTATGTGCTTCAAGAACATTCCGCAATTTGAAAAAGGCCGGTAAGCAATCACAAACC